GTGAAACTGTAAGACGGGTATCGATTGCTATGCATGTGCATATTGGTAAATGCATGGATGAGGTAGGAAAGTTAACTCTTAAAGTCTCTGGAGATGACTGGAGAACTGCATTAAAAACATCCAACATCTCTCATAGATCATAAATAAGATCTGGTGGCTATATCCTAGGATTCCCATTTGATACTTGAGCTACTAAGTGATAGTTTAAGCCTTAATCTTTGGAGCAGTGCCATCCTGGAAAAGTCCACTTCTACCCGGAACGCTTCAGCAGAGGATAAAAGTGATTACTCATTGACCCTTCCTTGTAAAAGTCTTTTGATGTATGACAAATGTGCACTTCTCAATATGGTGGAGCATGATTCATTTGACTTTATCGCTAATACCTGTCAACCAAAACCAATTAAATGCTTCGGTGACCATTTATCTTTATGATTAGAGGTTTAAGCTCTGCAAACCTGCTGTAACATCACTCCCTTTGTAATTACAAACAGGCTGTTTTTGCAGAAACAGTCTGAACACGTCCTGCACAGGCGTTCTCAGTCACCTCTGACTCCTTGTATGTCAAACTAATGCCCAATCATTATATGCCATTCTTGCTCTCTTGTTACATAATCATATTTAAATGGGACTGCTCAGCATCTTTAGACATGATTGACTGTTAACTGTTACAATGCAGTGCACCCATGTGGAGGCACCCCCATTCACTGCTTATTTATTCAGCTTTCTCAAAACTCTTTAGATGAGTGCATACATGAGCGTAGACTGTGCAACAAATATGCAGAAAACTTTCCTATGTTTTTTTATGTATATATATATTTTGACACATGAAATGACAAAATGCGGTTGAGTATAAGGATAAGGATAATGAGTTATGTACGCCCAGTCTGCACATTACAAATCCCTGATGACCCCTAATAAGTCACACATATTTGAGTAGTACTTATGCATTAATTGTGCCACCCAGGAATAGTTTTATTTTGCGAGACATTGTAGCAAGGCCACGCCACGGTGAGTTTGTTTTGCACTCAGTGAAGCGCTTCAGCGACTTCTTAAAACATGTTGCTACACTGCATTTCATTCTTTAGTTGGTTCTTTTGCTAAGCCATTGAACAGAACACCTGGGTTGGGACATTATTTGAATCTTGTATCCTGGAGGCCAATCCTACGCCCCTATATTAAGTGTCAGAGCTGTGTCTCAGCATGCTACACGCAGCTTTAATTAACACACTGCTGTGCATGGCCCCTGGCACCAACATGTACTGTAGATAATATTGAGATTTCTTACCCACCTATTTATTTCTTACCTGATGTTTTTCATTTTTATTTCGCTGTATTTCACATTTAGGTGGCTCCCGTTATTTTTTTCCAAATCCGTTTCATTTTCATAAACCTGGATAAAGTCTGGGGCCTGCTTCTTTACAACTTCTCGTTCTTTAGAAGGAAGCCAAAGAATCTATGAAAAGGAGAAAGAAAACTCTTAAAAATATGCTTGATTGTGAAATGCTTGAATCCCACAATTGATACAAGTGAGTAGACTTACCAGACTTTGAGGAATGCCAGACTCTAAGATGGTCTTTACTGTGTCATTTGTGTCCATTTCTTCTGTTTCTTTATTTTTCAGGTCAAATATCACTGAGGTATTGTGCTGTGTCGCAAATTCAAGAAGCTCTTTCAAGGAGGGTATGGTCTGTTTCCTGGCTGTTTCTTTCTCCTCTTCTGAGAGCAGGGACACTGTGCTGTAAGGATCATTCTGCAAAGCCAGATAATTTCACATGTTTCTTTAGTCTGACACATGATAATACATAAACCTCTGCGGGCAAATGTGCGCTCACGCATAAATCAAAGCACAATTACTACCTTGAGGAATTGTTCTCCTGCGTT